GGCTTCGGGCCCGCCAAGCCGCCGGGCGCCGGGGCCGCGCCGCCGCCCGCCGCCGCCGCCGCGCCGCCGCCGGGCGAGGACGCGGCCCGCAAGGCCGCCGCTGGCCCCTTTTACCTGCTGCGGGAGCTGCCAGGTGCGGGCGGGCCGCAGGGGCGGGGCGAGCGCCGCGCTCGACCAATCAGCGCGGCCGTGGGTTGAACTGACGGCTCGACCGGTCAATGAGCGCGCGGGGGGGGCGGGGCCAAGCGGCGCTCGGCCCCGGGGGAAGTGGTCGGCGGGGGGTCCCCGGGGCTGGGCCGGAACAGGACACGGGGGTCCTGGTCACGGGGGGGCGGAGAGGCCGAGGGTCCCGGGGCCGGGGCAGGGCAGGGGGATCCCAGGGCTTTGGCAGGGGTGGGGATCAAGGCCGAGGGGTCCCGATCCCCCGGCAGGACGATTCCCCCCCTCGCCATCCCCTCCCGCGGCCGCACAGGCACCACGGAGCTGACGGGCAGCACCAACCTCATCACGCACTACAACCTGGAGCACGCCTACAACAAGTTCTGTGGGAAGAAGGTGAAGGAGAAGCTCAGCAACTTCCTCCCCGACCTGCCCGGCATGATCGACCTGCCCGGCTCCCACGACAGCAGCAGCCTGCGCTCGCTCATCGAGAAGCCGCCCATCTGCGGCAGCTCCTTCACGCCCCTCACGGGGGCCATGCTGACCGGGTTCCGCCTGCACGCCGGCCCGGTGAGCCCGGGGCCGGCAGGTGGGAGGGGGGTGGGAGGGGCCCAGCCCGGCCTGACCGGCCCCCTCTGTCCGCAGCTGCCCGAGCAGTGCCGGCTGATGCACATCCAGCCCCCTAAGAAGAAGAACAAGCACAAGCACAAGCAGAGCCGCACGCAGGACCCCGTCCCCCCAGGTAAGGGGCTGTCACAGCCACCCCCGCTCCCCTCCAGTGCTGCCGGAGCCTCGGCTCATCCGGCACTTCTGCTTTCCCAGAAACCCCCTCAGACTCCGACCACAAGAAGAAAAAGAAGAAAAAAGAGGAGGATCCGGAGCGGAAGAGGAAGAAGAAAGAGAAGAAGAAAAAGAAGGTGGGTAGGGAGAGCCAGGGTCCAGTTCCCAGCCCGTGCGTCCCCGGGAGGCTACTGCCCAGCAGCTCTCAGGGGCTCTGTCTGTCCTTCCTCCACAGAACCGGCACAGCCCGGAGCACCCGGGCGTGGGCAGCTCCCAGGCCAGCAGCAGCTTACGGTGAGACCACCCCAGCACCGCCCCGGGGACCCCCTGGCCGATGGCCCTGGCTGACCCTGGGCAGGGGCACTGGGCTGGCCTGTCCACCCCCCCCCGGCAGAGAGGACACCCCCACAGGCCCCTGGGACCAGAGGCACAGACTCTGCGGGTGCTGACCTCGGGCTTTTGTACCAAAAGACCCTGGAGCGTCGGGGCCTGTTTTTTAGTTACCTCTGAACTAAAGTCTCTGCTCTGGGGAGGGGCTGGGGGCCGCGGCTGCTGCGACCCTCGGCCGTCACGGCGTGGGGAGCAGCCCTGAGCGAGGGCTCCCTGGAGTGTGCGCCATCAGCACCACCCTGAGCTCCTGCCCCGGCTCTCAGCCTGGCTCTTACCTTGGCTTTGGCCCTGTCCTGCTCTGGCCCTCGCCTCCCAGGCCTGCTGAGGGCAGGGGGGACCCCTGGAGAGGCACCGTGTCCCTGCGCAGAGGTGGCAGCTGCCGCGGGCACCGGGATCTCCAGCAGCAGTCACAGAGACACCACAGCCCTCCTCCGGATCTCGAGCCTCACCAGCACCTGCCACACCTTCCCTGGAGCAGCTTTCCCCATGCCTGGAAAATCCTTACCTTCTGTGGGAGCAGTTTGCCCAAAAGCAGCCCGAGGAGCAGCTGGGCTTGGCTATCCCCAGGCCTCCTTCCCTCTCCCCACCTCAGGATGGGGAAGGCTGAGACCCCAAGGAACAGGAGCTCCTCCATCCCTGGACGCCAAACAAAGCACACGCACGGCCCCGGGGTGGCTCATTAAATATCCTTTTATTCCTCGTTTTTAAAATGGCTGATAATAATAAAAAACCGTATTCTGGTTTAAAAACAATCCGTTCCTACCACGCCAGGCGAGCGGGTGATTGCACAACGCACACACGAGGCTGGC